TAATTCCCTTGCTTAATTCTGGCATTTTTGCAATACTGCGGAAATTGGCATGCCCCAAACGACGATGCCACAGATGCTGGCACTCATCATGCAAGGCTCTATTACAGGCTTTAACACATGCCCCAGACTCACTTACTAGCTGGTCTTTCAAAACAAACAAACCATTTTGTAGCGACGCTGTAACCACTTTTCCAGCTTTCTCTATTCTACAGCCTGAACCAGAAAAGGTTACTTTAAATCCCTGCTTAACAAGACTTGTAACTGAAAGCAAATTATTTTCTAAACTTGGTACACATAAAACATTGGTAAACTTGGTACTTAAACAGTTGATATTCACACTACCCTTTCCAGCTGACTCATGCACTGTTCCATCAGCTAGTACTACATTTACAGATTTACAAGGCTGCTTTTCTACAAGGGTTTGTGCAGACTTAACAAAAATGTTTGTCGCTGCTGAGTCTAAGATCCAGTCTTGTCCAACGTCGTGACTGGTGCCTCGAACTGCTGCAGAAACATACTGGACTCGACTCTTCCTGTTTCCTCGCCTCCCAGCAAACGCAGGCCGCCCTTGTCTTGTATTTTCTCCCACAGACACAGTGCACTGTCGTACTAAATGCTTGGTTGACCCACAACGATAGCATCTTCTAACTGTGAACGCTGCTTCCTCTCTGTGGTCTACAACCTCTTTAGGATGCCGCTCCTCATCAGTTGCATATCTTTTACTGGACTGCCTCCCATTTCTGGAGTTACGGTGAGGGGTTGTGGCCTTCCTCTCATGGCGTCTTTCCTCCTCATCAAGCAAACGGCCAGTTAAGAAATGCATTGTTAATTGGCTTTCTGGGATTGCTTCCAGAGTCATCACTAAATTGTCCCATGACTCAGGAAGTGAAGACAGCACAATATAAACCTTTCTCTGTTCAGAAAAATGTTCCCCAAGTTCATTTAACTGTGAAAACAAATCACGCATTCTTTGAAGGTGTGTTGAAACACATTCACCCTCACTTAGTCTGGCTCGGTACAGAGCTCTCGTTAGAGTAATTTTGCTGCCAGCAGTGTCTCTAATATGTATCGCTCTCAGTGCTTGCCAAATCTCACTTGCTGTTTCAAGGTCTCGCACATGAGATAACTGAGACTTCTCTAAACTCAAAATTAAATTGGCATAGGCTTTGTCCTCCAGCCTTTGGTCTGCTTCATCTACTTCTTCATCCTCCTCTTTTACAGGAGGGTTAACAATAACAGTCCAACATTGTTCTTTCTTTAAAAACGCCTGCATCTGTAAACTCCATGACATATAATTGGACTCTCCCAGTTTCTCTACTGGAAAATAGGAAGCTCCCCCTTGAGCTCCAGCTCCAAGTCCAGCCATGGCACCACCCAGCTTTCAGCTTTCCACTCAGTTCTTACTCACACGTGGCTTGAAGAAATGTTCGGCTCCTGGTCCCAAACAGACACTCCCTGCCGATGCCTTCGCACAGCCAGCTGCTTGAGAAACGCTGAGTTGCTTCCAGTCTCTGGGTTCTTTTCACGCTCTGTCTCTGCCCACTCAGGACTGGGGACTGGGCCCATAACCTGTTGGAGGGGGATTTCCAGCCGGTGGCAGAGGACAGAGTGACTCCAGGAGACATAGGTGTAAAAACCCAAACTAAAACGAAGACTTTATTACTAAGCAAATAAACACAAACTCTGGTGGATGTTATTCCTGCAGGCAGGCAACAAAACTCAGCTTTTTTCCTTTATAGCAACGGTCACCTGCAGCCAATTAATCCCAGAAACTTCTTAAAGGTATACACACATGTTTCTGTGCCGAATGTCCTCTAACAGTTACATGGTACCACCACAGGGGTAGACCCTCCTGCTTGAGTTGACTACTAGTTTGAAGAGTAGCCCTGCTTGCTTTGGGGTTAGCCTGTGATATTGGAGGGGAATTAGGATACTACATATATAGGAAATTTGCTTTTTCATAGAGCTACAGGGGACTAAAGACTTATCAGGACTGTTCTTAAATACTTTGTGTACTGTGTCTCAGTACTTAAGTACTCAGACCCTAGGAGACAGAACAGTGTCTTGTTATGGTAATTAAAATATGGCCTCAGGAAGATTGGGTGGGGCTAAAGAAGCAAAATAGGGAAAGGCAGGATATCCCTTATGATAATGTAAGAGTAGAAAGCTGTATCTTATTTACTAAGGGATGGAAGGTACCTCTTGGAAAATTACTTCTTTCCATCTTTTCTCTCTCTCTATTAGAGCAATCTTGTGCTTCTTGACTTGTGGTCTTATGTTCTGAAATGCTTTGATCATTCAAGAGACCAGATTGCTCCAGTTTGTTTTTGTGTTTCCTAACCATGAGGACGTAGGAAGTCCCATCCTTGGAGAGTGAGACCTGTATTTGAAGGTCTCCTCCCTATTGTCAGAGAAACTTCCACAGCCCTTTCCCTACCAATATCAGATTTCCACTGTTGGTAGGACCAAACCAGGGGTCTGCAACCTTTAAGACAAAAAGAGCCACTTGGACCCGTTTCCGAAGAAAACAACAACTGGGAGCCGCAAGACCGGGAAGGTGACGTCGGGACGGTGCGTGACTAACGCACGCACCGCCCCCATGCGATGTCACAGCCAGTACAGTGCCCGCCACAGTGGGGAGTGTTAGGGCACACAATGCGCCTCCTCCCCTCGCTAGTATCCGCCCCGGAGCCGCAGCAAAGGTGTAAAAGAGCCACATGCGGCTCTGGAGCCGCGGGTTGCAGACCCCTGGACCAAACCATGGGAGATTTGGGTACATGCTGGGTGTGAACCTGCGAAATGGCTCTATCCAAAGGACCCAACACTTCAGTCCCCTTACATGCCCCCAAACAAGGTGGTGAGCTCAGTCCACCCTGGAGACCCTTTGATTTCCCTCCCAGTGTTTTCAGTAGGAGGGAAATAGTTAAGAAAAATCATGGGAGAGGAGTGGAAGAGCTCTCCTCCATTTTGCCACCAGGAGCCCAGCAGGGTTCTGGATTGGTTGCTCCACTGTGTATCACTTCAAGCAATCCGACAAAGCGATATTCCAGACATGCCTTACACAGTAAAGCATCAGAAGGCACAAAAGGCCCAGGACTCAAGTCCACTGGCTCACTCCCTAGCAATGCCCCTGACCTGGGAGTAAAACCCACTGAACATAGTAGAACTTCCAAGGAAATGGATAAGAGTTTCAATGCCCTTGTGGGGAAACAGTCTTGGTTTCATCCCCCCTCCTGATTTCACCTGCAGAAATTGGTAGGATAGGTGGAGGGATGGGAGGATAGTAGCAAAGTTCCTGGCAGGTTCCTGAATTTTGGTTCTCATTTGTTTCCTCTGGGTCCATGAACAGCAGGAGCAACATTGTTAACACTTGTTTTCCATTCCTTACAAATCGGGTTTGAATAATGATTTCAAATGTTTCCCCTTTAAAAAAAAACACACTGAAAGCAGCCGTCAAACACGGGAACTGGTGCATCTATGGGAAGACTAATGTAACAATGTGAACCATTTTTCTGAAATTCACTTTTTAAAAAGCTATGCTTAACTTTTTGAACATTTTAGAAAAGTAGCTGGATTTGCTATGTTTTAAAATATATATATTTGTGTGTGTCAAGATGCTGCACAACTTTATACTAAAGAGATCTAATGTTGGTGTTCCTATCATATTCCATTACATCAGAATTTATGTACTATAAGTGATGAAAGAAACTGGAGTGGACAGATGAAAATAAAGATAACCAAATCCTTTTAAGCATAGCACCTTTTGTTCTTTGCTACCCATCTTAAAGATTTAAATTTCTCAGCAGTGCTTTGCTATTTTTGTTATAGTGGCACCTGCTCCTGTCACTGTCGTTTGAATCACTGCTCCTGTTCCATAGTTACATTAACAAACGCTGTGGACTGAAATATCCAAGAGTGGCCTGGGATTTACAATAGGCTTTGTTTCCATGTTTGTAATGTTGTTCAAAGAATCCAGCATCCCTTCTCAGACAAAAGACCAAAAATCAAACAAGCGTGCACATCCTCATGTAGTTTCTTTTCTTCATTCAAAACTTTGTAGGATTTAATGGCACTACATTGGGCTTGATTTCCAAAAGGGTTTTGGGCCACAATCCTTTACCCACATACCCAGGAGTAAGCCCTATTCAATTCTATGGGACTTGCCTCTTGAGTAGACACTGTGCTGCTGTAACAGTGTAATGTTTGTTTGTTTGTTGTTGCTTGCTTGCTTGCTTGCTTTCTAACATTCCTGTAACTGTGTGTGTGTGTGTGTGTGTGTGTGTGTGTGTGTGTATATACACACACACACACACACACACACAAGCTTTCTAACATTCCGGGAATACTTTATAGCAATAATATGTAACCTGGAGGCCTCTTATAGACCCAACCACCCCAACTGAAGGCACTGCTAGGTAAACAATCAGTCATTCCTTTTGATGCACCAGTTGTCCGAAATGTCCTGGGCAAAGCGGTAAGGATTCCTTTTCCTTTCCGAGGTGCAAATGTTCCCCTTTCACTGCAAAGAGAACATATTTATTTGTGGAAAAGAGAGTAGGCTCAGCGACCGTGAGGAATATCATAAATGGGGGAGAAGGTAAGCAATTTGGCATTGAGATAAAGGAAAGCGAGAGGGTGGGGGAATCTAGGTCACCCCCCAATATTTTGTACAGTTGGCCTCTAGCAGGTTAGAAATTTGCATTCAGCCTCTGGCTGAGAGAATGCCGCTTTCGAACGGAGGAGAGATTTGTTCTTGGAGTCTCTCCAGCATTCTGTCTCGCTCCTTTTTGCCAAAAAGAAAAGGGGCTTTTCTTCACTGCAGAATTAGTTTTTCTGCCTCCTACTACATCTGTGTCTTCTGAACTATCTTTTTTTCGTTTGTTTTCTTTTTTGAAATCGTAGTGAAATGTTACAAAAAGTATAATGCTTTCCTGTGATCCCTGACAAAGAAAATACATCAGTCAAAGCGGTCCTAAATTTAGTTGTCTTTCTGTCCACAGGAATACCAATGTTGAAGATAGTATTTGAAGGCTACGAACACCTATCCTTAATCTCAGTCCCTTTACTTATCTATCACCCGGCTCAGATTCTCCTCGGTAGCGTGTTGGTACCAACAATAAAGTCTTGGATGATTTCTAGACAAAAGGTAAGGAATTGTGGCCAGAAGCATAGTTCATTACGATAGATCTAGGGGGAGAGAAAGATAAGATTAGAGAACTGTTGTGTCCATTGCTGTTCAGGTGCTGGCAGAGCCACTCCATGATCATACCAATCTGCAGGCAAGGAGATTAGGCTGGGCTGAATGGGTGCTTCGTGTGGACTTCTGGCAATCATTTTGCACGGAAAAAGCACATCAGTAAATAGGACCTGCAGGCATACCCAGAGATGCTCACTGCATCTGAAGCACCGTGCCACATTTTGTCCTTGTGCAATGCTTTGGTGAGGTTCTCTGCACAATAAAGTATCTGCTCTTCCTCTGCCTAGATATCATAAACAATGAAGGGAAGGCATTTAGAAAATTTCCAAAGACAGGAAATTGTGACTCTTTCTTTCATCCATGCATGTGTGCCCAGTAAAGTCTAAAAAGGCCCTGTTGTCGGTGGTTTTGTTTTCCCCAAATCTAGTAGGGCATTTGCCTTTTTCCTCCGAGATGCATCCAAAGTCAGGTCTCTTTTTTTGTTAGTTTTAATTAACCAGGCTATGTTGCTTGGCAGATTTATTTTGATCATTTGTCATTTTGCCATACCACTGTTCATCTTCTGGTCTTGTAGGTTATTTTTCCAAGAATATTATTCTAATTACATGACAATATTATTATTTTTGTAAATCAGGGAAGTTCATTCTTGGTTCAGTAGCAATAATTACAATAGATTTTTGATGTTGTGCCTGGATAATGGTCTCCTGCTTTGAAAGTAAACATGTCAACTTCACCTTGATGTTTATTTTCTATCAACTCCTTGGCTTCACTTTGGCATTTCTTTCCTGGTGGAAAACTGTTATCCAGTCATTGTACTCAGCTCTACAGTGACATCCTTCCTTAATTATGATACCAACATGTTATTTCTTCATGAAGTAGAATTTAAATATTTAGAGGTTCGCCGACAAGAGGGCGTTTCTATTCCGGCAAGTAGTACTGTAGAAGCCTCCACACACCAAAGATCTCATTTTCCCAAACAATGTTGCAAATATATGTGTCTTTATTTGTAATGTATTGAATACAATTAACCCTAATTCCCAAATTTAAGAAACAAATAGTGTACTTTTTACGAGAGCAATGTGGTCTGTGTTCCATCTGTTTTGTTAATGCTTTCTCAATAGTCTGTCTGGCTGTTTTTTAAAGATGTTTAAATATAAGACGAATACCCATATCATGGTTCACAAGCTGTTGGGAACTTTTCAGCACACAGTAATGAGTTTTAACATTGAAGGAACCTGACAGCAACACTCACGTTACATATATGTGCACATAATTTACATGAGTGCAATTTCTCATATGATTTTTTTAAAAAAAGAAAACAGACCAACAAACACTGGAATTAGGCCTGAAACTGGGTCAACCAAATATGGAGAGCTAATGAGACCTTTCAGTACTGTCAGAACTACTACGGTACCAGGTTTCACTACTATAAAGCCAACAGGAGTCTTATCGCAAGGCATTTGGCAGTGCCAGAGGCTTCTTCAAGAAAGGGGCAGCAAAGCAATGCAACACACAGTTAAACCATGGAATTCACTCTGATAAGAGGCAGTGAGGGCTCCCAGCTTTGGAAAAGGATTCATGGAGGAGAAGGCTTATCAGTGGCTACTAGCCATGATGGCTGTGCTTGTGACTCCATGGTCATAGGCAGTAATGCTTCTGAATACCAGCTGCTGGAAGCCACAAGAAGGAAGAGTGTTCTTGTGCTCAGGTCCTTCTTGCAGGTTTTCCACCGGCATCTGGACGGCCACTGTGAGAACAGAATGCTGGACTAGATGTCATTCTAGCAGGCTCTTCCTAAGTTCTTATGCTCTTCTTTTCTAAGTGTCCAAGGAGGAACTTTCTCTGCCCGGTGCCACCCTGTGGCCCAGTGCTGCCATCTTTGTCCTCTAGGAAATGCAGTGGTGCCACTCTAAACTTTTCTTAACAGGAAAGGATAACCTAGGATTTTTTTTCTCCCAGGAAATCTGCAACAGATGGCTTCTTAAAAGTTACCAACTTTCATCGTCCGCATTTTATCAGATGTGTGATTCCAGTTCCCTGTCTTTAGGAATTGCCAGGAGTGAGAGAGGAGTAGGGTATGCTGCCAGTCAGTGTCAGAGAAATAAGAAAGTGTCATGTCTCCAGGTGTGAGGGAGAGAGAAAAGGAAGAAACGGTATGTTATAGCCCATCGTGAGGTGACTTGTAGAAAAAAGCTAGAGTCTTTTTGATCCTTGCTAATCCCAGAAGAAAGAATTCTTGCATAAGGTGGAGAAGAAAACAGCAAGATAGTGGGGAAACACCCCTTGTAATTTAGCAGCACAAGACACTCAGGGAAGAGTTGGCCAGAGACACCAGCATCTCTCCCTTCTGTAGGAAACCTATCACCAATTTATTTCAAGTACATTGGGTTGTTTAACTTTGCTGCTGCTGCTTCTTTCAATGCAAACAAACTGATGCTGTGTTTTACTGCTTGCAGGCACTGAAATTAACAAAGCAGCCCAAGATGCCAGTGAAAGTTTAACAGTGGAAGAGATCCAATGAATGTATATATGTACTATTTTGTACATACACAGAGACAATTCAGAAGATGGGCATATGTGAATGTTGCTTCGGCATTTATTTTATTTTTATAGATACTTATATATACATATATATATTTAAAATACCTACTGAAGTGCCTTAAAATATATTTGACAAAAGCATTGATTCCAAAATCACATGGCTGCTTGGTGTAACAGGTTGCACTAAAGTTTGGGGTCATTTGAATTCCCCCCCCCTTATTGAGTGAATAGTTCAGACAATGAGAGACCGGAGCTTCCATCCTCACACCTTCTCAGAGGAAGTGGGCACAAGCCGCCAAGTGTTTCTTACTCTCACGTAAGCTCCACTGAACTGAATGAAGTCAGAACGGGAGCCGTGCTCTGCAGATTCTACTCACCATTCACGTGCATATATGCTAATCCCAGGCCAAAACAAACCAGGGGCAAGCAACACTCTTCTGGCTGACAACGGGAAAGCAATTTCTGACAACGGGAAAGCAATTTCTGAAGTTCTAGTCAAGATTAACTTGAATTTCTGTGTGATTCCGTAACCCTCCCTGCTCCTATGATTATGACATGCCTTTTTCTTCTAAGTTTGTGTACACTCAGCATGGGGCCATCCATTGGAGAGAAACGGAGAAGCATAAATTATTTGCATTTGTTGACACAGTTGTCTAGACATTCCTTCAAAGCTAATGGTTTCTCAAGGCAATTCTCTGCATTCCATTTTTATGATTTTATGGCATTGTATATCTTAAATGCATCGTGAGCATCTTCAAAGAGAAGGCCCGGTGCTTATGGTTGTAAGGGAAGATCTGTGATCTACAAGTGCAGCTAGGAGGGTTTTTATTAGTAACATTAGTATTATCGGTGTTAACCCAAACTGAGCTAAAAGATCCCCCCTCTTTCCCCAAATTCAGTACACTATACCCCACAGCGACAGAAGAATATCCGATGCTAATATTCTCTTTACTGTCGCTTGCAGAGTGGTGTTCTTTGCAGCAAACGCAAGCTAGTGAAAATGAAAACCTAATTCTGTAATTAGATATTTCCCACAGAAAGTATATATTTGTGTACTCTTTAAATGTTTGAAAGCACTGGTATAAAAGGGGGGATATTTCTGGTCAATTTGGCTGCTGTAGCTTAAGTGATTTTTTTTAAAGATTAAATATGTTGAGTTTTCTTTACACTTTATAAAAGAGTCCAGTATACTAATGATATACACTTACCTGGGAGTAAGTCCTTCATTGGAATTTACTTCCATTCCTCATAGGAATTTACATAGGATTGCATTGCTAGTAAGCAGTGTACCTTATTCATGTCAGTTGCCTTTAGGCTAAGGCAGGATTCCAACCCTCCAGATGTTTTGAGACTACAATTCCCATTATCCCTGACCACTGGTCCTGCTAGCTAGGGATCATGGGAGTTGTAGGCCAAAAACATCTGGAGTGCTGAGGTTGAGGAAGCCTGGGCTTAAGGGGTAGTCAACCTTTTTATACCTACCACCCACTAATGCATCTTTCTCAATGGTAAAATTTCCTTACCGCCCACCAGTGCTCGATGGAAGGAGGATTCAGCTTGTGCCGTACAGCCCTCTACCGCCCACCTAGAATCCTGAAACGCCCACTAGTTGACAACCCCTGGGCTAAGCAGTGATCTGAGAGGCATATAATGCCATTGCACCCTCGTGAGCTTGGTAATCATGTGGCCCCATCCAGGAGATCCTTATAGACCTGGTAGCTTACACCGCACCCCTGTCCACAAGGTCTTCCTGTTCATAGCCCATTCCACTGAAGTATGTGAAGAAGCCTGCTTCGCAAGAATGTATGTGTGCATTCAACCGCATATGGAATTGTGGGAATGAAAATGTTGATTTTGACCTCTGTACATTACAGTGGAAAGAAAGGGCAGGTTCTTAGGGAATGTCATCCAGTTTCAATATTATTGACCTGGCTTGTGCAACAATGTGAGCCAACCTGGCTTAGCAAGAACATGCAACCATGTGGGCTCATAGAGGAGCTCGCAGGTACTTTTTGATCCTCCTTAGTCCTCGTTACTGTGTGCCTACCTAAGCCAAGGTTTGGCTTTGTGTGTTGTCTGAACCAGGACTCATGGTTACGCTCGTCCCCTCATTAACTACAATCTGCAGTTTGGCTTACCATGTTGTGTGAACCTTATTAACTGCACACACAAACTGTTTGAAATACATTCCTCTCCCTATACCCGAAGACTTGATAATGCATTATTCATCTTGGGATTAACAGTCCTGCCCAGATAATTGTATTTGGTGCCAAGCTGAGTTGCCTTATTATGTTGTCAACAATCTATATCAATCTGTTTAAAATGACTTCCTTGTTGCTTAGGTCAAAATGTGTTTATTGATAGGCCACTTTTCTGAAATGAAGTTACCACTTCTGAATGATAGAGGTGCGAAAGATCTAAGTGCCCATTAATAAGAATTAAGGTCAGTGAAATTGAGCATAGAAGCTACTGCTTTTTGCCAATTAGCCTCAATCATGTTTATTTGCATATGGGTCAGAATTATAAAATGGTAAAATATCAGATATGTTTCTAAGAAGACAGCCTGTATAGGTACTCCACAAACTCATCACAAGCTAGATTCTCAGTTAAGTGGATCAGATATATGTATTTTTACACACACATCACAAATTCACCTCATATACATCTTGATTCAGTTGTCTAAAAATACAGGGAGCCAAAACGCCAGAAAAAGAACAGATAACATGTTTTTGTTTTTGTTTTGACAAATCCTTTCTTGGGCCTCCAAAATACAGGTTATCTTAAGTCCACAATCTTGGCCATAAGCTGAGGAAGAAAATGAGACCTGTGAGTTTTGTGGCAGACTGTTCCAAAACTGGATGCAATATCGTGTGAATTTCTCTTGTGAGCAAGCCCCATGAAAATGAGGAGATGCACCACAGTGCAAGGTTTGCGCTTATGCAAATCCAATTCATTTTGATGCCTCTTGCAAATGAAATATTCCTGGCTGTTTCTACCACCACTGTTAAACTCACAGCCAACTAACTCTTCTGTCTTATCATTTGAGTCATGTCTGCTCTTAAACAGTCGCTACACTGCTACTCATCCAACAGATCTACCTCAAATTACTACAGTATCATCAGTTCATGACTTTTAACTACGAAAATTTGTCATGGCAATTTCATTGATATTACACTGTATTTAAGGCTTCCAGGGAAAGGCACTTCTGGCTATAATTGTTTATGGCTTTGAACAGCCTAAATGGTGTTATGTTTCTTCCTCATTTTACACAAGTGAATGTTGGGTGGATTGTTCTTAAAGGAACATAAAGCAAAACTGAATTACATCCTTTAAGTCCATACTTAGTAGAACTTAATTATTCATATCCAAAATGTTACATTATGTTTAAAGACTGTTAAGATGTTCATTTCATGCCTTCAGTTATAAGAGGAGCTCATTGGGTGTTAGTTTGGAAAGAGGCAAACGGATAGGTCTGCAATTTATTTTTGTAACTTGGGTTCTTTTTTCTGCCTGGGTAAAGCTTTTGGTTTGTTTCTTTTTAAAGTCTATATGAACACTTTTTAAAAATAAAAATAGCTGATAAAAATGTTTCTCTCTCTTTTTTTGTGGATGACATCGAAAAGAGTCAAGCAGGAGATGTAGCTGCATGGACCACTTGTTGTCTGACCTCTTACTTAGATTTGCTGGGATGTTTGCAGTGTACAGATCTTGCAGCAGGGTTTGACTCACTTGTTGCTTTCTTCCATTCTGTGCTTTGAGTTGAGCATTGTTGGATACATTATTGTTGCCTCTGACTGTTTATTTATTAAAGCATTTCTATACCACTGTATCATAAAATATCAAGACAGTGCAACCTACAAAACATTTAAAAAATAAATAAATGAAATACAGTTAACCATTCAAGTGACTGGCTAACAAAAAACAAACAGCTGCAAAGAGTTGTCAGCACAAAAAAAGTCTTCAAGAAACACCTGAAAGTCAAAAGAGAGGCTGCCCTGTCCTGGTTTCTGATCCATAATTGACTTCTGACTTCTGCTCAATGACTGAAACTAAGACCTTCACGTCGAATCTGACTATGGACTAACACGAACTTATCTCTACTCATAAACTCTTATCTCTAATTCTGTAACGAATTATTGTGTTATACACATCCTTTTGAGTTTGTAATCTCTGTTTGAGTTTGCAACTTCTTATTAAGGCAAGTTGGGCCTCTGTAATGCAGGAGGCAAGTAACAGCACTCCTCTGGATGGCATCCTAAAACAACAACAACACAAAATTCCAAACAAGGTAAGTAAGAGATTATAGTCACTGGACTTTGATATGCAAGTAAAATATTTCAATTTACATAGCCCTGTTCAGCTGTTTGGTACTCACAGCTCCCAAATATGTAAAAGTGGGGAGGAAGCTACTTCCAGCACCAGGCCAATTGGCGGACCAGCTCTGTGACCTGAAGGCTGGTAGTATCAACCCCGCCATGTGGAAATCCCTTGCAGACAACTGCAGTTCCTGGAGGCAGGCAGGTTGTGTATCCACAGCCGTGACCAGAGGAGGAATGACCACTGGGAGGAGCGCAGAGAGAAGAAGCACCATGGTGCATCTGCAGCAGCACAACTGGACGCCTTCATTGATTGCAGCTGCAACAAAGCATGCCTCTCCCGCGTCAGTCTCTACAGCCACAGAAGGTGCTACAACCATCCGACAGCTTGACCCTCACCCCAAAGGCGCACTCCTCCATTGTCTCCCTAGAGTCTGGACACCAACAAATAATTCTTTTGTGACCCCCATAATAGTAACTTTGGTGGTAAGCACATCTGTGCCTATTAGTCATGCTAGATTCGTGGAAATTCTGCATGTAGGTGAAGAAGCCCGTAATGCCAGTTGCTGGCACGAGGGGAATGGTTATGCCTCCATGCCTAATAGACTTATTTACATATCCTTAGATTTCTGATTTTGGCCCAGGCAATTTTTTTCTATTACACCTCTCTGCTAACACTTTTAAGGTAAAATTTTGTTGGAAAAGGGAGCTTGACTCTCATTGCTTATGTAAAAGAACTGCTACTGAAAACGTATGCTAATAACAAAGACTCTACCCAGCATTGCTGGGTCTGGAAAATGATCTGCTCCCCGCAGCGGGTTGTCTTTCTCAAAGGGGTGCCTTTTTCTCTCTCCCCTCCTTGACTTCCTTTCTGTTGAGAAAATGGAGCAATTGATGCTTCAAAAGGGAATTCCGCACTTGGCAATCAGCTCCCGCTTGCAGGATGTCTTTGTCAACGGCAGCTTGAATATATTTTCCTCTCATTTCTCTCTGTTGTGGCAGTGGCAGACACAATTCCTTTCAGATCAGAAGCCTAGTGCCTACCTGGGACAGACTGTGAAAGGCATCTTCCCATGAGCCAATCGGATCCTTGCCATGGAACTGAGGATCTTGTTGGCTGCGATGTGAGTTTTCCATTGAAGCAGATCTGCAGGTCCTGCTGCTGAGCATCATTCCATACAGAGGAAGACTTACTTCCTGGTGGCCCACAATAAACACCTCTCACCTTCAACTTAAACTATTGTCTGTCTTTCCCCAAGGGCTGCTTCACATACTGCAGGATTTTTGACTTGAGCCCCATTATGTGAAAACTCTGGCTGTAGTAAAAT